AAAACGTCATATTAATGTTGAAGTCCGAGATGGGGGTCACCACTGCACCTGAGGGCGCTTGCACAGTCCAACCTGCCACCCTCCATCCGCTCGAGAGACCGAAGATGACACATGGGAACCCACATAATTCGATTTAATTTTAGTTAGAAATTAATTTCACGGTGTTCAATTCATAACTTAAATGTGCACAGACAGCGCTGAACTACGCCCCCCCCCCCCCCTCCCCCTTCTCTCTCTCTCTCTCTCTCTCTCTCTCTCTCTCACACACACACACACACACTTCTTCATCCCTAGTCAGCCACAAAGTACAAGCAAATTAGACAAAGACAACCCCCACTCCAAAAAACGACTCGCCCAGCTTCTCGGCCGCTCTTTCCACCACCGCCCGCAGCTTCTCCTCGTTCCTGCCGGCCACGGCCCAGCGCACAGAGCCTCGCAACTCATCCTCGGCCACCACCCGCGCCAGTTCCTCGACCACGAATTGGCCGGTGAAGCCCGAAGCCCCGAAGACCACCAGCTGGAAAGGCCGCCCGGTCGCCATGGGGACAAGGAAGCAGCTCGGCCGCCCCGCGTCCTCTGGTCAGCGCACAAGGCAAGGCGACCACTGGGCGGTGTGGCAAAGGGCGCGCGACCTAGAGACTCCCAACGGCGATAGAACGCAAGTAGGCAGGGAGGGGGCGTGAACAATGGAGCCAGCTCCGCTCGCTCCAGATTCCGGGCGCCTCGACGTCACATGACGCCTGGAACGGCTGGAGCGCTCACCACTCCCCCCGCAAGCCGCGGCTCCAGTCAGTGGCCGCTGTTCCTTCCTCCCGCCGCGTGGCCTACTCCCATGGGCTTTCCGCCAACGGTCCCCCTCCTCCCACCTTTTTTTTGACAGGAGGCGTCTAACAAGCCTTCATTGCAAAGCAACAGCATGGTTAGTCACTGTAAGCTGTCTTTGTGGCCCAGAAGTCTGGTTTGCACCAGGGTGAGGACGACTCTGGGAAACCCAGCATGGCTGCAATACGAGTCCGAGAGGCTCCCTCTGTGTGTGTTCAGGCTGCATAATCTCTGTCAACAACTTCGTGCGTTATTAGTATTAGTGTAGATCAGTGACCAGTTCTCTTGGATTTGACAGTCAAGCTTTTCTGGGGCAGACGATTACAAGTGCTGGACAGAGTAGGAGACAACTAGATATGCTTGACTGTCTGGACTCCGCTCTGAAAACAAAATACACTAATTATATTCAGAAGACTTTAAAATCTTCAGCGAAAAAGATTAATTCAGTGCTAAAATCTAAATCAATGAAAACAAAACAACTGGGAAAAGGAACACTGGACAAATTCTGCTGCATCCGACACAGTTTTGCAGTATCTTGCCTTTGGCAGTATTGCAGAATCTTGTCAAAGCTGAATCACAGTAATTTCAATCATGAGGGGAGAGGTAGTTTCTCTGAAATCATAATGCAAAATTATGCCTGAATCTGTGGGAAATGAGTGGGTTGTTTTAAAGGTGTGCACTACAAAAGTTTTGCAATGTTAACCTTTTTATCTGCTGCCAAATCTCACTTTAGAAGGTGCTGATTGCCTGTGGTGTTTAACTTTAGGCAAAATTTCTCGAAGATGATGGGTTATGCCAGTGGTTAATCTTAAATCTGCTATTGCATACCTAAGTACACACAACATTGTCATTAAATGCCCCACAAACCACGAGTGAAAGGATTTGTTGCTCCAGGCTTGGAGGGGGCATTATCATCATCAATATATCCAGGGGTCATTTCCTGCGGGAGCAAGGAGCAGAGCTCCGGCAGTAAGGAGCCCAGGGGGCAGGCACATGCAACAAGCCCCACACCCTGCTCCCAGCAGCCCTCAGTCGGGCCATGAGGAGGACGAAGCAGCCAGGTAAGTTGCAGAGCTCCCCCCCGGCCCGCCTTCAGGTACAAGCTCTCCCTCCTCTGTGAGGGCAGATCTGTGCGTTCCCCCCATAGCTAGCAATCCAAAACAGTCCAGTGGAGCCTGAGCGGTGGGTGTTGCCTTCTGACACACTTCTGGTCAGGGGGTGTGGCATATGCAAATAAGTTATGCAAATAAGTTATGCTAATGAGCTCCTGCACCTCTTTTTCTACGAAATGACCCCTGAATATATCTAATTCTCAATGGCTACTGTTCTGTAGATACTTATATCTAGAAACTGAAGTCATTTTTCTTCAAACCTAGAGCTTTCCTCAGGTTCTTAGACAGAACTGTCTTGACTGTTAATGACACACACGGTGGGGCCAAAACACCCAAAACAGAAGCAGCATCTGTACCTTTAAGAAAGTGATGCCTCTGAAGTGGCTATTGTGGACGTTGCTAGGCAACCACAGCTGTTAGTAAAAAGCAGGTGGACAAGGCCTTTTCCAGGGCTGTTTTGGCTGTAGAGAGGGGTTTCATCAGGCTGGCCTGGCAGCAATGACCAGGCAACTTGATACTACTATGTGAGTTTCATGACTCACCCAGGCCCAGCTGCTTGCTACTGTTCAGCTACAGTCATCACATGAATGTCATTGTGGTATAGTAGTTAGAGTTTCAGACTAAGATGTGGAAGACCAAAGTTCAAATCCCTACTCTTCTGTGGAAACTCAGTGGGTAATACATCCTCAGCAGTTATACATCCTCTGCCTAAACTAACCCACAGGATTGTTGTGAGGATAAAATTGAGGCAAAGAGAATGATGTAAGCTGCACTGCGGAGAAAGGAGTGGTAAACTAAATAAATAATATAGCTGAAAATGGGGAGGCAGATAAAAGGTAGGTTGGTTGGTGGATGGGGGGGGTTAAGTAGGAAGCAGGGAAAGGGAAGAGGATATTGGGGTTGCCAAGAGGAGCAAAAGAAAAAATAGTGTGGGGAAGGAGATATAGGGGGAAACTGAGGTGTCCCTTGCAAGTCCTTGCAGGCTCACCGCCTTGCAACTGGGCCTGCCCCAGCAGAGGGCACTAAGCAACTCAGCCTAACTTTTCCTAGGGAAAGGAAGCTAAGCAGGAAAAACTGAAGGGACTGAGATAAAGGTAGATTGGCTGGAGTGGTGAAAAGCACAGGAGGAGGCAAGAAAAGGGGAGAGAGTAAGGGAGGTGCTTTCAGGGCAGGGAAAGATAAAATAGTAGGGAAGGGGAAAATGAGATGTCCCCCACAAGTCCTTACAGGTCCCTCACTTGCATATTCTAATTCTCAACCCAGCCAATTCTAAGAATACTTAAATCTGAAGACTAGAGTTGTGAATGGAAAAGAAAGATCTTTCTAGAAACCTGAAAAACACCCCAGGTCTGTAGAAAAATCAGAAATCAAATAAATAAATACATTGGGGGTTTTAAAAGAAACCAAAATGATAAAAGGAGTACTTGTAACTCCGGGGGTCATTTCCTGCCGGAGCGTGCCGGAATGGCGCTCCAGTATTAAGAAGCCCAGGGCACCCCCCCACCTTTCCTGGCCCACCTGGTGAGGCCGATGGGCCAGGGAAGGCCTACAGAGGCCAGATAGGGAAGAGAAAGAAAGGCATTTTAAACATGACTGGGTTCCCTGCCCAATCTTGAGAAGATCAAGCAGGGAACCCAGGCATGCTTGCATGCCTGCCCTTTGTTAGCGGGTGTGGCATATGTAAATGAACTATGCAAATGAGCTCCTGCACCTCTATGTGTAGCTCTAAGAAACAAATATCTCTCTTGGGCTCTGTTGGTTTTGTCTAAAAAAAAGCGGGGGGGGGGGGTTCCAGGGCTGTTTTGGCCTTTGAGAGAGGAACCATGAGGCCAGGCCCAGCAGCAATTACCCGGTGACTTGCTACCACCATACTTGCATCATCTACCTAGGCCTGGCTACTTGCCACTGTTTAACAGCAGCCACTCTATGAAAGGCGATTAGAGCTTCAGACTAGGTCTGGGAGACACAGGTTCAACTCAACAATATGCCATGGAATCTCACTAGGTGACTTTAGCCAGTTGCATATTTTCAGCCTAACCTACCTCACAGGGTTATCCTGTCCTAATATATAAACGTGTTTTCGCATGGCAACATTCTATGCTTGCCAAAATCAGTTGGCTGCCTGAACTGCCCATCAGAAGGTGTGCCTGAGTTCCGCCCACAGAGCCAGCTCCCGCCAAAACTACAATCCGAACAGTTTACCTCAGCAGCCGAGCAACCATTTGCCTGACCAGCCTTCTTCAGCTGTCAGGAGAAGATCAGCGGAGGAGCAGCCGCGGCCGTTTGCTGCAGACCATTCTTCAGCCCTTGCAGATGGCTGTGGTTCTTTGTTTAAAATGTTCCCCCATCAGGTTTAATTGAGCTGTAGTTCCAGAGAAGGGCATGCAGGGGTATCACTCACTGGGTTGAATGGGGCTTCCTCATCTGCTGGCCTACAGTTCCCAGCTACCCCAAGCCCAAAAACTGCAGGAAAGCAGGGACTGTCCCAAGGCAGTCTTCGTCCCTGGGAGCAGCAGAAACTCAGCCACTCCACAGTCGGCTGGACTGGGGAATGAATGGAAGGGTATTCCAAAGAATGGAGGATGGGAAGGGTATTCCAAAGAGAGCAAAGGCAGTTTTCTTTCGGACTACTCAGCCTCAGGCTCACTGAACACTGCCCTCTCTCAGGCCCCCACCCCACCCATGCCCTTACAAAGCCGGCCAACTTGGTCCCAGCGTGCAGCAGCAAGAGCAGCAGCGAAGGGGAATCAGAGGAAGGCAGCAGCCGGGCGCAAGAAGTGGAGGAGGTGCTGTGGAGGCCGTCCAGGATGTGGGTGGGACCGCAGCGCGCGTGCGCAGGAAACCAGGAAAGCCAGACTCCACGTGCAGCCCAGCAGAATTAAGGGCTGCTGGGAGCTGAGGGTGGGGCTTCACTTCCAGGAGGAAGCAAGCCCCCGCCCTAACTTCCCTCCCTCCCGGTCCCAACCCAGCCGCTGAACATAGTTTCAGAATGGAGCAAGGGTGGCTGGAACCAGTTGCCCCCGGGGGAGGCTGAGCCCCTTCCTGAATTTTTTTTTTTGGGAAGGCTGAGGCCCCATCACCCCCATGAAGATTACGCCTATGCGCTTACCAACCATTTAAAGAAACACAACTTTAAATCCTTACAGTTGCTTTGGTCCCCATTGTGGAGAAAGGCAGCGTATAAATGGAGTAAATAAATAATATAGTTGAAGATAGGAGACAGATAAAAGGTAGATTGGTGAATGCCTGAGAATGAGAGAATGAGGCAGGGCAAGGGGAGAGGACAGGAGGGGGAAAGGAATAGTGCTAGGAGGGGAATACAAGGGAAAGTGAGGTGTCTCTTTAAGACCTTGCAAGTTCCTGACCACACAACTGGGCCATAATATTGTCAGATAGTGGCTTCTGGTGGGCAAAGGAAAACTCAGGACTTGGGGGGAGGCAGATAAAGGTAGGTTGGCTGTTGGGTGGGAAGGAGAGAGGAAGCTGGAAGAAGGGAAAGGCTATGGGGGCTTTCAGGGAAAGATCAGAGAAAATAGTGCAGGGGGAGAACATGAGATACCCACCCACAAGTCCTTGTAGGCTCCCTGTTTAATTCTTATTTGTTGTGTGCCTGGAGGAAAAATCTAGAATTTGGGATTTTATCCTTAGTGCAGGCTAAGCAGTATAAAACAACTCTTTTGCACCAGCTGTTAGTAACAATTAGAAATGGGAAGAAGAGGCACTTTAAAATCCCAATCATATTTGCCCATATTTGTCTCTAAGAGTTCTCAAGTGTCCCCCA